AAAAAAAAAAAAAAAGCCGTGATCGTGATCTGCAGCAGTTCAGCGGCAGCTCTACTCCCGAGAGGGACTGAGGGATCCGCCGCCGAATTGCCGCCGAAGAGCCGGACGTGCCGCCCCTCTCGGTTGGCCACCCCAAGCACCTGCTTGATGCGCTGGTGCCTGGAGCCGGCCCTGTCTATAGGTTTTGCTGTGTCACGCTGCCTCTGGGTTCGGTGTGATCACCCGTCAACTGCAGTCATGACTTTCAGCCTCGGACCTGGCTTTGATCTTCCTTCTATTGTACCTTTGTTCTTTTCTTTTTAGGGTGGACTCTTCTTACTTTGTTAGGGCTCTTGTCTGCATCTGCAGCCGTTGGGGTTTGAACTCTATTTCATCAGGACAGGCTGGCGCTGGAGGTTGATTCCATCATTCATACATACCTCAGTCACACATCTAAACTAAACTAATAAGATTACAGCAGGGTTTGCAAAAATGAAGGTTGCAGCAAGCCCTTACAAAATGGAGTGAGCGTTTTAAAATGGAGTTTGAATTACAATATGGCAAACAGTGAACAGACGTTACAATGTAAGCAAGTGTAGTGAATGGCAAACAATGAACAGAAGTTACAATACTGAAACCGTGCAAGTCTCAGTGATTTAAGCAGGAATTGGATTGACAGTGAAACTTACAAGGGCAACTGGCTGAATGCTGTGGCTCTTATCAAGCATCTTAATTGTCAATTAGCCAGTTATCGGGGTGACCGGTTTTATGAATGAATGTTGTTTCATTCATAAAACTTCACTTATGAAGTTACATTAATAAAGTGAACAATTACAAACAATTTCATTCATCAGTTCTCCACGCTCAGCTCAGCGCCCATGTAATGACAAGTGATGACCGTGTGAGGGTAGGAGGGAGGGTCTGGAGGACACTCGCCAAGGCTGATGCTCAGGAGAACCCCCTGGGCCAGGCATTTATTTGCATGCGGGTTTCACCCAGTGAGTATAAACTACTCGGGAGATCTCTAGCTAGGCCGGGCTGTCTGCTGGGTAGGAGAGACACAGCCCCCTTCATCTCTTGGGGTGTGACCCATAGGCCGGGGAAGCCATTGGGGTTCTCTCCATTGGAGCCGTGGCTACTGCAGACTGTGCTGGGCAAACAGAATCAGTACAAGGCATGTTCAGACTCTGCCAATAGGAACAAAGCTCCTGGGAACATCTGAGGGGGAAGGAGTCGCAGCTGCAGGGGGAGGGAGAGGCTGGTTTCAGGCACCAGAGACTGACAAACAGCTTTATCAAAAGGGGAGGAACTGGGCATGGAGAGAAGATGCCTCTTCCGGGGCGTCTCAGCCTGAGAGCTGGGGCTACAGCAGCTTGAAGGGAGACGCACAATAGAGGGGGATGGAACAGTTTAGTTTGTAGGCGCCACCATCTCGAGTGAGACGTGGCCAGTGTGTGTGTGTCGCTCTTGTTCCCTACAATGTGAATGGTAAATTCCAGCACCAGAGAGGCCTGAATGTCCGTGTAGAATCCGCTTTCCCCAAGGCTCTGTCTATACTACAGAGTTCAGTCGCGATCACAAACGGCAATAATTGCATCGCTTGTGCATGTTCACACAACGCTCCCTGCATGGGCAGAGCACGGCCACGGTTGGTGCTCGAGCAGTGACAGAGAGAGCAGTGCACCCTGGGTAGCTATCCCACCGTGCAACTTGGTATGTCCTGCTGCTAGGAGTTGTGGGAATGGGGAATGGATCGCAGTGCATCATGGGTGCAGGCTCCCTGTCCCATGATGCAGTTTTTTCCTGTCCATCATTCTGTGGGCTTCCCACTACATTTGGTGCCCTTTTTTCAACAGCCCCTGTAAACTGGGCACCCACCATCTCTGCCTGAAATCAGCCATCTCCAGCCCCGCTCTCCAGCCTGAGGATAAGGGTTATGAACACAGGGGGGCTGATCACGCAGTATTTCATGAGCTGCAAATGTGAACAGGAATTACTGTATTAGCCTCTCCCCACTCTCACTTTACTCTCTCACACTACACAATAATATGTGGGAGCAGAGCTGCGGGGAGAACTGGTTTTGTAACCACACACTGGGGAAATGCAGCACCTAAGTTTTTGGTGCTTTCATATAGAACAGTGGTTCTCAACCTATTTACCATTGTGGGCTGCATATGCAGCTCTCTGCGTGTTATGTGAGCTGCATCCACACAATATATACGCTACCTGTATGGCCCTGAGGATGTCATGGGCCGCCGCTGTGTGCTGATTGGGCAGGAAGTGGCCTGTGGTCTGCGGCTTGAGAACCACTGGTGCAGAAGAACCGCTTGTGGTGGGTGTGAGAGAGGAAGACTGCTGCCCCCTACTGGACAGAATGAGACTTCTTTGTGTGTGTGTATTTGTGCTATTCTTTGGGGGGAATTAGGTTTTGTAATGACCCAACCACTCCCAGTCTTTATTCAGGCCTAATTTGATGGTGTCCAGTTTGCAAATTAATTCCAGTTCTGCAGTTTCACGTTGGAGTCTGTTTTTGAAGTTTTTGGTTGAAGAATTGCCACTTTTAGGTCTGTTCTTGAGTGACCAGAGAGGTTGAAGTGTTCTCCTACTGGTTTTTGAATGTTATAATTCCTGATGTCAGATTTTTGACCATTTATTCTTTTGCATAGAGACTGTCTGGTTTGGCCAATGTACATGGCAGAGGGGCAACAGACTCCAACGTGAAACTGCAGAACTGGAATTAATTTGCAAACTGGACACGAACAAATTAAGCCTGAATAAAGACTGGGAGTGGATGGGTCATTACAAAACCTAATTTCCCCCATACTAATTTCCCCCTACTGTTACTCACACCTTCTTGTCAACTGTTTGAAATGGGCCACTCTCATTACCACTTCAAAAGTGATTTTTCCTCCCTTGGTATCCTGCTGTTAATTGTATTGTCTCGTTAGACTGACCTCCCACTTGGTAAGGCAACTCCCATCTTTTCATGTGCTGTGTATTTCTACCTGCTTCTGTATTTTCCACTCCATGCATCTGATGAAGTGGGTAATATCCCATGAAAGCTTATGCCCAAATAAATGTGTTAGTCTCTAAGGTGTCACGGGGACGCCTCGTTGTTTTTATTAGTATGTAGGTTATTCATATTCAATCTACTGTGTATCTTTATCTCTGAGGGGCTCAGCTATCCCTGCTTTTCTGGCCTCACGAGGCTGCTTAGAAACTGCTTCCCCTTTTTATACCAGTCCCTGCTCTGCTCTGGGTCACTGTGTGCCTGGTGCAGTAATAGGCGGCGGTGTCTGCAGCTGTCAGTGAGCAGATCTGCAGGGAAACCTGGTTCTTGGCAGTGTCTGCAGAGATGGTGACTCGGCCTTGGAGAGACGGGGCATAACCTGTCTCCCTGCTGTTATACGGGTAAACATACCCCGTCCACTCCAGCCCTTTCCCGGGGGGCTGCCGGATCCAGTTCCAACTGTAGCTGAAGTCATTGATGGGTACACCAGAGACAGCACAGGTCAGGGTGAGGGTCTCTCCGGGCTTCACTATTCCTGGGCCCGACTGCACCAGCCGCACCTGAGACAGGACACCTGGGAAAAGGAAAACAAAGTAAGGAAAGAATTGGCCACCGAACGAATCTATGGTTCAGTCCCTGATTCCCCCACTGTGCCATAGACACTCACAGGTGGGGGCGGAGAGCAGGGAAAGGAAAAGCAACAGAGATTTCATTCTCGTTTTCATGGAAGGACGGAAACGTCCCCAGTGGTCAGGAACAGGGCCTGTTCTGTGTCTAGGGAGGGACTGAAGCGCTTATAATCAGGGGGTTTGTTTTTAAACAGCAACGCCCTGGGGAGGGATTTGCATGCGGGTTGTACCCAGCGGATATAAGGCGACAGGGAGCCGTGTAGGTAGGGAGTATTGGTTGGTGAAGTGGACAGTAACATGTCTTCATCACGTCTGGGCTGGGCTGGGGAGGTCACTGAACCTTATGACACACTTTCCACTCAGTGTAATGTGCCTTAGGAAAGAGGTTAACTGGATCTGTGAATCCCAACCTCCAACAGTGGCTGCTGAGAAATGCGTTGGGCATCTCCAAGAAACATAACCAGTGCACAGAAGCAGTCAATAGAAATGAGCTGTCAAGGGGGATGAGCAAAGGGGAAGGTGATTCCTCTGTGTAATACTAATTAATCAATATCTTGCATTGCAGATATATCCAACGGGGAAAGCGGTGCAGGTGTGGAGAGACACTGGGCATTCAGTAGTGGATACAGACAAACAGGGGCAGCGAGGGAGGAGGAAATGGAGACACAAAGGGACAAGGCAGGTTTGGGGTTTTATGCAATGAAGAACTTTGCGCTCAGGGAGTCCTAAGAGTAACCTGGAAGGGAAAGTAGCAGCTTGTAGTTAATGTCACTTTTGAGTTAATAGCGTCATATATATTTAGCTCAGAAGGGACCATTTGCACCAGCTAATCTGACCTCCTGCATGGCACAAGCCAGTGGATTTCCCCCAGTGATTACTGGATGCTTGGCAACGCGCCAGCAGTGCGTGTTCACAGGTAATTCCTGCCCCCTGCCAGAGGAGATGAGAATTGCTGTCTGTGCACATAGATAGATGTGTCTGAATGCTTGTGTTTTTCACTGATGGTCCCTGCTGAGAGGGAAGAGTTCAGTTCTGTGTGTGTTTGTGAAACATGCTCTCTCTTTCTCTCTGTGTGCCGCCCCCTAATGGAGGTAGTGATGTCTTCTCACTTTGTTCTGTTTATACCTTTGTATACAGAAAACACACCAACACACACCGCGTGTTGACTTTTTCTTACTCCGTATCCATTACATCTTTCCTTGGCTGTGCCATTACCTTATTTTATTTCTGTTTCACATAATTCCCGTGGCATGTCGGATTATGCAGACCCACATTTTGACTGAATTTGTGTATCACAACAGAATTTTGGGGCAGTGTATTGTGGGACATTAGGCAGACCTTGCTCTGCATAGGGCATGCGGTAGAAGGAAATTACCTAAAGTCTGTTTAGTTTAATAATTTTTTTTATATATTTTGTTCATATTTGATTCACTTTCGGTGAGTCTATAAGTGAATCTGTGAGATTGTGTGTGTGTGTGAATTTGGCATATGGTGTTTACATTCACTTTACTGTGGAGGGGATGATCGCTGTGGGTGAGTTTGTTTTCATGTGAATGTATCTGTCACAGCGAGGATCCAACACTCCAATTAAAACTGGTCTCACTGCAATGCATAGAATCCTCTTCCCCCTTTTTTGGGCCTAGATGATTAAATAACATTAGAAATCTTCTCCAAAGGGCATTAGAGTTCCACTTATTTTGATTCTGTATTGTCCTCTTTCTTCCTATCAAGATAAAGAATCATTTTATGTCTGTTGTCCAAAACCATCCTTTGATTTTTTCATTATACCCTTCCCCAACCATCACCCTAACCATAACCCTGCATTTATTTCTAACCTTACCCTTAATCCTAACTCTATCCTCTAGAGTTACTGATGTCTGTTTTTTGCCAGTGTATCCCAGCCACTCCAACCCTCCTAGATCCATGACCAATGGAAACAGCCACTAAGGACTGTAGACTTGGAGAAATCAGACACATCACAGATCAGTATGAGGTTCTCCCCACAAGAACATAAGAACGACCAGACTGTATCAGACCAAAGGTCCATGTATCCCTGTATCCTGTCTTCCGACAGTGGCCCATGCCAGGTGCCCCAGAGAGAATGAACAGAACAGATAATCATCAAGTGATCCATCCCCTGTCACCTGTTCCCAGCTTCCGCAAACAGAGGCCAGGGACGCCATCCCTGCCCATCCTAATACATTCTACATGAATGTATCTGCATTCGTTTCCCCCCTGTAAATATATTTTATGTCCAGCCACAGTCGGAGAATGGGCTTTCAAATGGCCCTTATTGTGTGTATGGAAACCGCTTCCTGTTTTTGTACCCGTCCCTGCTCTGCTCTGTGTCACTGTGTAGCTCCTGGCGCAGTAATAGGTGGCGGTGTCTGCAGCTGTCAGGGAGCGGAGCTGCAGGGAGAACTGGTTCTTGGCAGTGTCTGCAGAGACGGTGGATCGGACTTGGAGGGACGGGGTGTAGGCTGTGCTCCCATAATATGGATAAATCCCTCCCACCCACTCCAGCCCTGTTCCAGAAGGCTGCCGGAACCAGTCCCATCCGTAGCTGTTGTCAGTGATGGATACACCCGAGACAGCGCAGGTCAGGGTGAGGGTCTCTCCGGGCTTCACCGCTCCCAGCCCGGACTGGACCAGCTGCACCTGGGAGTGGACACCTGGGAAAAGCAAAGCAGAGCAAAGAGAGAATTAGCCATGGAAATAATGTATGGTTCTGCCCCGAATTTCCCCACGTGTCCCATAGACACTCACAGGCGAAGGTGGAGAGCAGGGAAAGGAAAAGCCACAGAGATTTCATTCTCGTTTTCATGCAATGAGGGAAACTCCCCAGTGGCCAGGACCGGGCAGGTCTGTGTTTTGGGAGGGACTGAAGCTCCTCGAATCAGGAGTTCGTTTTTAAACAGCAAGGTCTTGGGGAGGGATTTGCATGTGGGTTGCACCCAGTGGGTATAAGGTGACAGGGAGCTGGGTAGGTTGGGAGTGTCGGCTCGGCTGGTGGAGTGGACAGTAACACGTCTTCATCACGTCTTGGCTGGGATGGGGAGGTCACTGAACTGTGTGACGGCCTTTCCACTCAGTGTAATGTGCCTTAGGACAGGGCTCAACTGAGTCTGTGAATCCCAACCTCCAACAGTGGCTACTGAGAAATGCATTGGGCATCTCCGAGAAACATAAACAGTGCACAGAAGCCAGGGCCGGCCCTAGGCACCAGCGTTCCAAGCATGTGCTTGGGGCGGCACTTTTCAAGGGGCGGCACTCCGGTTTTTTGTTTGTTTGTTTTTTGTTGTTGTTGTTGTTGCTTGTGGCGGGAAAAACCTGGAGCTGGCCCTGTGAGTGACTCGGTAAAAGGGCGCTTCACCGTCTCCAGAGATGACCCCAACAGCCTGTTGTACCTGCAGATGAGCAGCCTGAAGCCCAAGGACACCGCCCGGTATCACTGTGTGGGACACACACACACAGGGGAATCCTGACAGGGCTCAAACAAAAACCCGAGCGGCCGAACCGCCCTTCTCCCATGCACTACGTGGGGGCAGCACTTCCACAAACAATCCAGCCCTGGGCACAGGAATGGGAGCTACAGACAGAGTGAATAAAAATCAGTCACTAGGCTTCAGAGCTCAATATCCATCTATGATCATGTGTCCATAAAACTGGGGCTTCTTGAATATTCACCTGTTTGAATGTGGCCCTTATCAGACACCAAAGTAAAAATGCACAGCGCAGAAGAGTATTTGGGGAATCAATTCTCAAGGTGTGATAACTAGGACTTGGATTTCAAAGGTGCCTAAATGCACTGGCGTCAAAATCCCCATTGCGATTTTTGGGCACTAATGCTCTCAACTTCCTTTAAAAAATCACCCCATGGCACTATAGATCTAACACACTCTTGAAAGGAGACATCAGGTTCCAAACTCCTCTGGCCTCAATATAAACACAGATTTTCACATGATACTGCCCTGATCGCTATTTGAATAGTCTTCACTGTAAGGGTCTGATCCAAACTCTGCTAAAGCCAGTGGTGGATCTTTCCCTTCCCTTCAGGAAACTGTAACTCAGCCCTTACATCCGGAGGGGTGGGAGGGATTTCAAGGGAGTTCTTTGTGCACCAGTCTGGTCAGATAGCCCCGCTCTCGCTGGGTGCTGCCCAGGCACAGAGTTAGCACCAGTCCGACTCCCTCTATAGAGCCCCAGGCCAAATAACTCTGATCATTCAGGGAACGGGGTTGTGTCTCTCCTATAAGCAGCGGGATATGCAAATAAGGGAGACAGTTTCCTGTTTAAATCTGTCCTTCTCTTTCCCAGGCTGCACCCAGAGAGACAATCCGCAGCCCCCTGAGTCTGTGCAGTTACCAGCCAGTCCCCTGAGAAGTTTCCCCTCCAAAACAGGGGAAATGAGACTTTGGTTTCATTTAGTTTTCATTTTTGCAGCTTTGGGAGGTATTTTTGTCTCCTGAGTAATTTGCACAGTCAGGTGAATGTTATACTATCACTCTTTTTATGTGATTTGTATTGTGTCTTTCTTCCCAGGTGCCCGGTCGCAGGGGTTGGTGGAGTCCGGAGGGGATGTGAAAAAGCCCGGAGACTCTCTCCACCTCTCCTGCAAAGCCTCCGGGTTCACATTCAGCAGCTACAATATGAATTGGGTCCACCAGGCTCCCGGGAAGGGACTGGAGTGGGTGTCATTCATCGGCAGCAGAGGGCGAAACATCTACTACTCCGACGCAGTCAAAGGCCGATTCACCATCTCCAGGGACAACTCCAACAACCTTCTGTATCTGCAAATGAGCGGCCTGAAGCCCAAGGACACCGCCCGGTATCACTGCAGGTGAAGCACAGTGAGGGGAAGCCGGTCTGAGCCAAGACAAAAACCTCTCCCTGCAATAATTAGTGAAGCGGGTTGGGGGCGCCCAAGATCTGTAAGTGAAAATGAGATCAGTTATGGGAAGAGGTCTAGCAACAACAACCCCTTTTTATTCTTATCATTATTCCTCTTTTTTTATTATTATTTTAGTGAAGATCAAAGAGTTTACGCAAGTTCCCACAAAGGAGAGGAAAAAAATTCTTTGGGGCGCTTCCTCTTTCTTTCCTCTGCCGGGGACAAATTCTGAGCCCACTCACAGTGTCCTGGACAGTTACAGAGTCAAAGACCTAAAGGGCGGAAAGGAGCAGGATGACAAACTAGTCTGACTTCCTGCATAATACAGGCCATGGAGCCTCAACCGGATTCATTCCGGTTCCGTCTAGTGCCCTCTTCAATTCACCGTGCTGGGATTCCGCTCAGTGTCACCCTGTCAGTGTCAGTGACACACTCCAGCAGAAAAACACCACTCGCTCAGCTTTTGGGACTAGAACCCACCGTTTGTTTGTTTGCTCGCTTTTGTTTGTTTGTTTGTTTGTCTGGTTAGTTGAATAATTTTTCCACCGATGGTGGCTCTTCTAGCACAAGGAGCATTTTCCTAGGAGAAAAAAAAATCTGGGTTAAATCAATAAAGAAATAACCCCCAAAATATTCATTTTCTGGTTTTAATAATAACACAAAATGGGGGGGAATCCATGAGAGACAGAGGGGGTGGGGTGCAGGGTCCTCTTCTCCCGTCCAGCAAGGGGGGCAGCAATGAAAAAACAGCACAGCACAGCCTTGGGGACAAGCCTGAAAAAGGGCAGTGGAGATTGGAAAACATGATTTTTAATTCTGTACCTACCCAACATGCTCATTTGCACATAGAAAAGCTGCAGGTGAACTTTGCCTCTGCCTCGCCAGAAATGTCTCAGGGTTAAACTTCAGTGCTGGGTCCGTCAGGCTCCTGGGAAGCATCTGGAGTGGGTCTCCAGGGCGGAGTAGACAGGAAAGGGTTCACACTACACCGATTCGGTGAAAGGGCGATTCGTTGTCTCCCGAGACAATCTCAACAACCGGCTGTATTTACAAACGAGCAGCCGGAGACCCGAGGACACAGTCCGTGTCACTATGTGAGAGACTGGATCACAGGGACAAAGCCCATCACCAAAACCAACGGTGGGTTCACATCGTGTTTGGCTTTTAAAACGACCAAATCTAAGAAAAGACAGGAATTAACCCCAATAGTCAACGTTATGTCAATGGCGCCGATTTGTGCTCAGTTTTATTTTACAGAATGGAGAAGATGAAATAGTTAGAATTTGACTGAACATGCGGAGGACTGTATAAAATCCTTTCATGTTCTATATTCCGTTATTACTGGCAGGAACCATTGGACTGGCAGTACCAGGGTAGGAAATATAAGCAGTAACGAAGCACGTAAAGTTGACTGACAAATGCCCCTGAGGAATGTTATCATTGTTGAAGATGTAACCCTTCTGCCCATCTGAGTTGGCAGCAACAAGGGCCGGGTTCTGTATCTAGGGGTTCCGTTTCAATAACGCAATGCAAAACCGGCTCGAGCCCCCACCCAGTGACCTCGGACAATTATATACTACCCCCTGGGCACCTCTAAGAGGCAATACTTCCCCTCTTGCAAGCACGGAGTCTGCGTGTAGCAGAAAATGTTTAATAACATGGGTAAACGACATCAGCATTAAATTGGAAAAACACCACAAACAGGATTCGTAACACAAACCGTGAGCAAAAGACCCACCGCAGCAAATTGGGCCATGTCCTTTTCCTTTGGTTCTTGAATCTAGCAACCCCAAAATCACCCAGAGTCCCCAAAGTCCAACACCCCAAAAGTCTCTTGAGTCCAGCAACCCAAGAATCCCAAAAGTCCAGCAACCCAAAGTCCCCAAAGTCCAACAACCCAAAAGTCTCTGCCCCTGGTCAGTGCAGCCCCAGAGTTCAAAAGTTTATCTGTAGGGTTTTACCCCCCCAGCCTGGGTGGAAATGGGGGGGGGAAGGGGGCACGCAGGGTGTTAAGGGGCACCTTATGTAGTCCGAGGCCGACTGCCCGCCTCTCCGTGGGGTTCCGCTGCAGCCTTCACCACGAGCCACTCCACCAGCTGTCCTGTGAGCTGCTCCTGCCGCCCCACAAACTGTTCCGATCTACCAGCTGCTCCACTCCGCTCTGCTCCTCCAGCTGTCCCACAAACTGTGCTGCTCACCATTCCGTGGGCTGCAAACTGCTCCGCTCCGCCAGCCGCTTAGCAATATAGCTTCAGGCTCCCCCGGTGGTTAACACAGCACTCAGTGATCTCAGCTCTTTAGTGATTTCAGCTTGCAGTAAGGGAGCCCCAGTGCTGGTGCACCATTGATCCAAAGTGAATTCCACACAGCAGCCTATAACTAGACTCTCAATAGAATCAAAACTAGCTCTGCTATTCAACAGTGGAAAGAGGAGGTAGTGCAATTGGTGTTTCAGGCCCTCAAAGGGAGGGGGGTGGATCTAACTAACTAACTATCTATCCCTCCCAATTCACGGAGTTTTGGAACCCATGCCCCATATCTAGCGAGTGCTACTTAGTTAATGGTGAGGCCCTCTGTCATACAACAGTTCCACTGGCCTGGATTCCATAATCAGGGTAACAACACTCTATTCTTCCTGCCCCAATGACAGAGAAACTGGGGATCCCACACCAGCCAAAGTAACCACTTTCGGTTGCTGTGGGCTCATGCCAGGAGGGTGGGTGTGCCTATGCAAACAAGATCAGCCCGAGGTTCTTTTCCACACTTGCCATAATTCACCACCAGATGTCAGGGTAGAGCTCATCCTGACCCTGCTTACAAAGACATCTATCTATCTATCTATCTATCTATCTATCTATCTATCTATCTATCTATCTATCATTTTAAGGGATTGAGATCTCTTTCCATCCTTATTTCTCTAA